CCACACTAAATCACTGGCAACCATGGGATGAGAAGGCACAAGATGACAGCATCAAGCCACATTACTATATATTGCAGAGGGAAAAGAAGAAACCAGACTGTGTGGTTAATGTTTTTGGCACCACCACTATGTTTTTTGGTGATGTCTTATTCCACCCTCAGGCTCCTGTAGATCTCGCATCTTAGACCGATGATCTACATATGACTTCTGCCTTTGCCTGAATTCCTGTGCCTTTGAAGTATCTTTGAAATGGGTGCTGCTTGGTCTGAAAGCTTCTCTTCAAAGAGAGGTTTGGCAAGGTCCTCCCTCCTCCTCCCTTTTGAAAGAGTTATTTTTCTCTGCCTTATTGCTCTGCAGAGAGAAGCAGGATTCCAGGGAACTGTCCCCCCCCCCACATACACACTTCTCAAAGTACCCACCCCCCATTCAAGAGTGGATTGAATCGGGGCCAAGGCAAACACGTCCAGAGGCATCAGAGCAGCAGGTTGCCTGGACAGCAGCAAATCCACTGAATTTCACTGTCTTCAGATTCCCTGGGTGGCAAGCCAGCGTGTTAGAGACCTATCACATCTAAACAAACTCTTGAATGCAGTTATAGCCAGAAAAAGCCACTGCGCCAATATGACACTTTTCTCCTTGCAAGCTCTGTTCCTTGTGTGTATCAGGGTCATAACAGCCATCTGCCAGCAGCCAGCTTTGTAATCTCTCTGTCGTCCATGCAGGGGCAGTGTAGCAAATTGTTTTGCGGTTTATGAAGCATCAATAAATACCTGACGGTTCTGTACCTTCCCTCCTGCCCTGCCAGATGCTTGGAAAAAACTGGAAGATTGTGCAGTGTAGCGGCTCTAACAGAGTCGCCAAGCCAACTCTCACTTCTGCCATGAGCTCATTAAGTAGTCTATTAGGCAAGCCTCTCTCGCGGATTCAGTTCTTAACACACAAACACACAGACACGTGTGCATGTGCACGCACACAGGAAAATCTGCAATATGGAGGATAATATTTGACTTGCCTTGCAAAACTGTTGTAAGGACTATGGCTATATAATGGATGTGAAGTGGTCTGAATACTTGAAAATGCTACACAAATGTTTATTGCTGCTATTGCTGTTATTTACCCCATTTAAGGTGACTATCTCTTTCATATTGTGGAGAGAATAATTCTAGCTAAGGTGTGTAACGCTTGTTGTGTAGTCCAAATGTGCTGGCGATTGGCTTGGGTGGAATCTGAGTGGGGGGGGGGGTTCTCTATAGACCCAGATGCTACAAGACAAAACATTTTGCTGAGAACAGAAGAGAAGCTTTTCAGAGAGGCCGGACACAGCACCACTGGGAATTCTCAAGAGATGCCCCTGCCCCAGGGTTCAAGGGCCATATTTTTTATATATCCTACTGAGGGAGGAGGCTGCCTTTTATTTTATTTTTTTGCCTGAGGACGTTTCATTCAGTATATGTATTCTTGTGGAGGTCACACATCACTGGGAAATGAATACTTAAACTGCCTGAAACATGCTTTGTATACAGAGTGGAATGGTAGCATATTTTGTTGCTGTTTATCACAGAAAACAGATGTCATTAAAAAACACTTATGCCTTGCATTTGCAGCTGCAACCTTACTTCTTTTAAGATTTTTAACAGCAGGTTCTTAAAATTGTGCTATTGTTGTGTGTCCCCCACCATGCTGAAAAAAAAGGGCCTGTTTATTTCAGCTTCTTCCCTTTGGAAGCACAAAATCCATCAAATTTGTTTTGACAGTATCTATCAAAATGACCCTCTTTAGAAGAGACTAAGGCTCAGTCTACACAGGCAGAAGAATGATGAGCTACAGTTCTGAGGTGGTACATCAGACTGCTTCGGGCTGCAGGAAGGGGGTGCCATTTTTGAATGCTCCCTCATGCTTTTTTAATGCCTGCATGTAAAGAAACAAGATTCAGATGCTCTCTTCTTGCTCTGCTGATTTTCAGCTAACTGAGACTTGTGTGTATGTGCGTGTTTTTACAGAGGTGAGTATTCAAAAATGGTATCCCTATCAGCAGTCTCATTATTCTACTTCAGAATTCTCTGTATTTGATTCTGGTTTAACATTAAACACCTTTTAGTTTAACATCAAACACAGAGCCACTATTGATGTATAGGTTTGAGTGTTGGACTAGGACTTGGGAGACCTGGGTTCAAAACCCCACTCAGCCATGAAGCTCACTGGGTGACCTTGGGCCAATCACTGTCTCTCAGCCTAACCAACCTGACTGGAAGTTGTGAGGATAGCACCGTCTTTCCACACACAACCCCACACACTACTTTTCAAGGTTAGCTTAGCAACCACAGTGCCTCTCATTATTAGGCTCAATATTAAAATACATCCTAGGCCTAGGACCCTCGTACCTACGGGACCGCCTCTCCTGGTATGTCCCACAGAGAAATTTACGGTCTGCAAATAAAAACATCTTGAAGATCCCAGGCCATAGAGAGGTTAGGCTGGCCTCAACTAGAGCCAGGGCCTTCTCGGCCGCGGCTCCAATCTGGTGGAACGCTCTGTCACAAGAGACTAGGGCCCTGCAGGACCTGACATCCTTCCGCAGGGCCTGCAAGACAGAGCTGTTCCACCGGGCCTTTGGTCAGGGCGCAGCCTGACCCCCTCCTCTGGCAATCGGCATTCTGCACAGAATTTTGCTTGATGGTTGCCATTAATTTGATTTTAATTTGATTTAATTAATTTTATAATGAATGTTTTTAGAATGTCGGAGTATTTTGATTGTTGTTAGCCGCCCTGGGCCCAGCTTCGGCTGGGGAGGGCGGGATATAAATAAAATTTATTATTATTATTATTATTATTATTATTATTATTATTATTATTATTATTATTATCTGTGCTAAGCTTTGAGCTTGTTACGTATGCCAGTAACATCAGAGGAAGTGTAGATCATAGGACAGTCATGCCCATCATAACTGCTGTGATGTATTGCAGATAATGTTCCCCAGGTGTGTATATGTAAGTCTTTAACATGTATATTTTCAGACATTACTTCCACACTTGACATGTTTCCTGATGAAAACACTGGTGTAACAATGGCATTTCTTCTCACAGCTGTGGTAATGTGTAGCACTGTCTGTGGAGAAAGAGCAGTAGTGAAAACCAGTACAAGGAGCAAGAAATGCCTGTAAACGTTTGCATTCTTTATCAGGAAGATGAAACTGGGTTGGAGATGGCACAAAACTAGCCTGTGCCAACCACCGATCTTTGTTAACTCAACAAAGTGGAATCCTGCAATGGCTGTTGTAGAGCTCATTGTTCTTCCAATGGGGCCAGCAAGTGTTTCCTCTGAGTAAACGGAGAGAAAATGACCTGCTCTCCCTTAATTAATGGGAGGCCCAAGCTCAAAAAAGGGAAGAATGAAGGCATATTTGTGTATATATATATTTGTTAAAGACTCTGTGTACATGTGCATATGGGTGCATGTGCAAACATGTACGCTCACATGGGAGTCTCCCCCCTGCTCTGCTCCTGAAAATAGGCAGCCCCATAAGTAGACATCAAACAGACTCTAACAGAGTAATAGATCCCAGATTTCATTCCTCCCACACACACCTTCTTAACAGAATATCTGTGTTTGTTCACTCTGTTGTCTGGCTTCCTGTCAAGATATCCTGCAGCCAGCCTAGAGCAGCTCCTAATGGGCTGCCAGGGGATTTAGTCTGATACGAGTGTGTACCAGGTGCTGACAGCTTGCTGGAGCAGCTCGCTCTGCTAGCGTGATTGGAAATTGGTCTCTCATTTTCACCCTGTCATAGTGAGTAGATAGCAGAGGGATGAGCAGGGATGCTCTCTTTCTGTAGATTTCCACTACTGTGCAAGGTGGGGCATGGGAAGCTTCTTCTGCCTGTCAGTGATTTGCTCAAGCACATTTCTTCCCCCACCTCAGCTCTTGTCATAAGGGGGCAGCTCTCAGGTTAGCCTTATCGAGCCACACAAAGCAGTCCCCCTTTGGGCAGCAAGATTCAGAGGCAGGTGCCATTTTCCTGCATCCCTCCTCTATCTCTGCATGCCATATTTAAAAAGAAAGAGAAAAGGTCCCGTCTTGAGGTTTTATGTTTGTCTTTTCAGCATTTTCAGATGGGAAAAGGTCTCAGGCCAGCAGTGGATGGGCCATAACATTTAAATATGGCTGACAGGTGTTGTCAGCTTGCGCAACAGGGGAAAAAATCTTTCCCCAATAGCTCCTTACCTGCACCATTTTAATTTTTAAACGTATGCATATCCAACATTTGTCCAAAAGAAACCTTACTGATAAGAGGAGCCTTCTAATGAGCTTCTTATGTGTTTGTCTATAGCAAATAAGAACCATTACCAGGTGAAAAGGAGGGAACCAAAACACATAGGTTATTTGTTTTTTAAAGGTGATCATGGGCTACAGATGATTTGCAAGTGATGGTCAATGAAGCTAGTAAAAAATTGTCTTAGCTGGTAATGTTTGTGGGCTTAATTTGCAAGACTGCTGACAAGGATATAGCCCAGGGCATCCGTCCGTCCCCCCCCAGCAGAACATGCTGGAACTCAGTTTCGGCCCCTCTCAGGTGGGTACCATTGCCATTCTCAGAGGTGTTCTTGATGAGTTCTGACACCTCTTTTTCTAGAAAAATAGCATTGGTATTGCCTTTTTGGGTCTAAAGAAAAAATGGCATATTGGTCTGGGTTTGGGTGTCTGAGATTGCTGGCAAATCCCACATTTCTGGTATTCAATTATTTTTGAGATGGTAAGGTTTTGCAAGAATGAATACAAATTTGTTTGCTTTAATGTCCTTCTGGAATATCTCTGAAGGGCAGACAGGACATTCCTTGGTTGTTTTTGTCTCTCGTTTTATATAAAGCTGAGAAAATTGCCACTCTAGGCTACAATCAGCATGAGACTTATATAGTCAAGTGATAGGAGGGCTCAAATAAAAACATGTAAAAATGGAGCTGAACCACAGTCTTTTGTCTGTGTTTTCTTCTTTTATTTTCAGGGAATTGTTTCTCATGGATCAATACCATGTAAAATTCACTCAGGAGCCATATACAACAATACTTATGGGAAATACACATATATATGGGAGCAGAATAGCGGATAGAGATTTTGCAAGTAACTCTGGCTTTGCTGGCTGTGGGAATACTGGTAAGTGTTTAATTTTTAAAAACCTTTTTAAGCCAACTAATATCTAGATTCAGTTGTAATGTAAGGAGTTGTTTTGCTAATTTAGTTAATCTAATCCCTTGCTGAATGAGATGAAGAGGTGGGGCCTGAGCCGGCTCCCCTTTTGCATGTATTTCACATAACATATTATCAACCTTCAGGTCTAATCAGTTTCACTTTTCTTTTCTTTTTTAATTATTGGACAAGGGAGAGCAGCTGCAGTTTATACCTAAGAAAATACAGCAAATACCACATCCTGCAACAACAATGACACAAACCATTACAGTGGTACCTCAGGTTAAGAACGTAATTAGTTCTGGAGGTCCATTCTTAACCTGAAACTGTTCTTAACCTGAGGTACCACTTCAGCTAATGGGGCCTCCCGTTGCCACGGTGCAATTTCTGTTCTCATCCTGAAGCAAAGTTCTTAACCTGAGGTACTATTTCTGGGTCAGCGGAGTCTGTAACCTGAAGTGTCTGTAACCCGAGGTATCAGTGTACAGTGGTTCCTCAGGTTAAGTACTTAATTCGTCCGGGAGGTCCGTACTTAACCTGAAACTGTTCTTAACCTGAAGCACCACTTTAGCTAATGGGGCCTCCTGCTGCTGCCGCGCTGCCAGAGCACGATTTCTGTTCTCACCCTGAAGCAAAGTTCTTAACCTGAAGCACTATTTCTGGGTTAGCGGAGTCTGTAACCTGAAGCGTATGTAACCCGAGGTACCACTGTATATTAATACATACTCAAGAAACCAATGCAAGATCTGTGCTAATGTCACCGCAGCAGCAAGCTATTAGATGTTAGGAACTTTAAAATTCGCTTCATTTGTTTTAGAGACACTATCTACTGTATTCAGCCACAGTGAACTTTCCGAAGTCAAGGTGAGGGAGAACCTGTTTGGGGGTGCAACAGGCTTCTGTTCACACAATAGGACTTCACCTTATTACCCTCCCTGCTACAGTCCTCAGACTCTCAGGGTCTGGAAACCAAGCCTTATGAGGGAGTTAGGTATGCTTAACCTGGGGAAGAGAAAACTTGAGAGGTAATATGATAGCTATTTTCAAATATCTGAAGTGCTGTCACATAGAAGATGAAGCATGCTTCTTTTCTGCCACTCCAAGGGGTAAGACCTAAACCAGTGGATTAAAATTACAATAAAAGGGATTCTGACTAAGCATTGGGAAGAACTTCCTCACTGTAATAACTGTTTCATAGTGGAATGAGGTGTCTTTCAGAAGGTGGACTCTCCTTCATCTGAGGTTTTCGAACAGAGGTTGGATGGCTGTCTGTCAGGAATCCTAGCTGTGATTCCTGCATTGCAGGGGGTTGGAGTAGATGACTCTGGGAATCCCTTCTAATATGACAATTCTAGTATTCTATCTGCTCTGGGAGCAGGCCCCACTGAATTCAGTAGCACTTTTGAATAGACATGGTTAGGATTGTGCTAACCATGTGATTTTTTATATATGAAATTATTAATCTGAAATATTTTTGGTATTTTTAATACGAAGTATTTAAACTATCTAGACAAAAATAATGACCTTTTTGTTTCCTTTTCAGAGATGCCAATGGATGGTGTGTCAAGACAGCCCCAAATTATTTTGGCCACATCAAGTTAAAATGTCTGTGCTTGAGGCTTCTGGAGTGCCGACAAGACTCCAAAATGCGACTCCATGATGCGATTCCAGGGTGCACATTAAGCAGAGGTCTGTTTGGATTCTTTGGAGAAAGCCCTTCCTTAAGGTTCCTATAGAATCCAGAAAGGGATGTCACAGGACAGCAAAGCTGTTCGGCTGGTCCTTTAATTTTGCTACCTTTTAGGGGTCTTTTCTTTATTTCTACCATCATGCTGAATATCCTTTCTTACATCAAATTCTCCTTTCACAACTCAAGAGGTTGTGTTACCCCACAGCACTTCTGGCCCAGGGATTCTCCATGGTGACTGACTGAACAACTTTCAATACAGCCTACACCTGCCTTTTTGGTCAGCCCCATTGAGAAATGCATGGTGAAGTCTGTGCAGCTACAACCTTCGTGTTGGGAAGAGAAAAGGGCAGTAAGGAAGGGTTCGGACAATGGTTATTTCTTCCCAGAGGCTCATCTTCTTACCAGATGCATCATTTGCCCCACTGTCTTCTATGGCTTTTTATTCCTATGTGATTATATTGCTAATTTCATATAGGGATTGAAGCCGTGCAGTACGCTGGGGGTTTGCAACAGAGGCTGCTCGCCTTGTTCAAGTCAAAGCCTGTTGGAACAGCTCAGTGTCATTCATAAAGAGGAGAGAGCTCTCATACGCAGCCATTCACTAGTGACCATTCCTCCTCCTCCTCTGATGTTGCTGTAGCTGCTTCCCTTTGCATGCTGCCTGGGCAAGAGTGGTGCTAGGCCCAAGTACAAGCAGTGCCTTATTCTCCTACTCCTTCAGATAACAATTTAGAAGTGATGGACATGATTATATGCAGTGATGACCTGCTTTCCACTGGCTTATGTATGCATGCAAACATGTAGCATTCCACAATTTAAGTGCATAAGAATGGCTGCAGTATTTGCCTTTAGTAAGAACCCTAAAGACTATGGAGGGAATGGAGGCAGGGAGGACAGGGCGGCCTAAGATATTTTGGTGCCTGAGGCAAAACGCCCTGCTGCTGCCCCTGCGATGGAAGGGGAGGTTCCGCAAGAGTTTCTTCTGGGGGTGGGAAGAGATTTGGCAAGGGTATGAAGAAGCCCTTGGCAATTATCCCTTCCCACCCAATGGCAAAGCTGGGTGTGCTACTCTGCCCCCATTGAAGCCTCTGTTACCTGGATTGCTTCTCCATCAGTGGCGTTTCAGGGCACTTGCAGGGGTGCCATCTCTTGTGTTTCCGCCACCTGAGGCAGCTACTTCACCCTGCCTCATGAATGGGTTGGCTCTGAGGGAAGAATACTTTCACCTGCCCATGCTCTGATAAAGGGCTGTCTTCCAAAACTGAATGGCACTGCAAAAATGTGATGAACCATGATGTGGGGTGTGTGAATGGAATCCTAACATGCAACAACATGCTCTCCAGCCACTTTGGAGGGCACCTATTTTGTCACAAGATGTACTATGTATAAAGATGCTTTAGGGTTCTGCAACTTCTACTGCAGCAATTCTTAAAATAAAAAGGGGAAATCCGAAATTATTATTGTGAGAACTCAGTTCAGTTTGATTGAGAAGCAGCCCCTCAAAGGAAGCATTGTCACATCCCTTTTATGCTTATTTCTCTCTCTCTCGGGGTAATTTTCTTCTTGGCCTGTCATTTAGGGCCAAGAAGAAACTGGCTGTCTTACCCCGAGATAATTGTCCAGGGCTGGTGGGAATAGTAAACCTTCTGCCTTGTCTGTTAGCTTTTCGGAAGAGAGCCTTCTCTAGTCAGATTCTCTCATACCTGGCCATCTGCACAGGTGCACCTTAAGAAGCCTGGCTTTTTAACTACAGAAAGCGTGCCTGGAGCAGTATATTCAAGCCCCTGCTTCTAAGCAGTTTTCTGAAGTATTCCTCCATCACCACCGGAAGACAAGCACGCTCTGGTATTGCACATGAAGAAAGGATGAGAGGCAACATATTTCGGGGTATGTGTGAGGCTGAGGAGAAATGGTTAAAACTTTCACATTCTTTGCTACATGCCTTTGTTGTAAGGCAGGTTAAGTTGCTCTCTAGTTGAAGTTTTAAGGTCATAGAGCCCACTCTTCTTTCTAAAACTTCATATAGCATGTCTTACTGCAGGGCCCATTCTCTCTCTCTCTGTGTGTGTGTGTGTGTGTGTGTGTGTGAGAGAGAGAGAGAGAGAGAGAGATGAGAGAGAGAGAGAGAGAGAGAGAGAGAGGGCAAATTATTGTGCCCGCGCTGCAGTCTGATAGCCTCGGCCTTTGTGCAGGTTTAGGCAGCATTACAGAACTAGGGAAGAGGGGCACAGACTTTGATTCCTTGTCAGGATTATATAATCTTCCTCCAAGTTTCTCAAGGGGCATTTGGGGCTTTTTTTTAAAGCATGTGTTAAATCTGTCACGTTGGTGCAAATGGGTAGAATTACTCAGTTTGCTGACGAGATTATAGGAGAACCTTTTCTGCTCACTTCATAAAAGAAGGTCCCATTAAGCACCGTGTGAAATATTAGCCATTAATCAGCCTCTGCGCAGAATAAACTATCCATACTTATCATTATCTGATCCTTAATGAAGCAGTAATAGGAACGCCGTGGAGCAGGGATATTAATGTCTCCTAAGAGGCCCAAGCGATGGTAAGGCTAGAAGCCAAGGTTTTTAATTCAGTTCCAAAAGCTTCCATAGTTAATAAGGTTGCTACTTATCCCAACCATTAGCACTTGTTTGGCCACAAGTGTTCCTATTACAAAAATGAGCTCAGCCCTCAGGAAGTGCTTTGCCAGCTGTTAACATTGCTCATCCTCTTTTCTGTCTGACTACATACTTCCTGGGGCTGAATGTGTGCCTGGTTGGCATCCCCATTCAAGCCACTCCTTGCTTTGCTTTCTTTTTAGGCCTAGATACGATGCCAGCCACCCAGCCACATTGAGAACCGTTTCAGAATGTAAGCTACAACTCTCTATGCTGTAATACAGTCATAGCCTCGGTTTGTGAACGTGATCTGTGCGGGAAGCAGGTTTGCAACCCACAGCGTTCGCAGCCTGAAGCACTGTGTCTGTGCACACGCATGATGCGCGTCTGTGCATGATGTCATTTTGTGTTTTTGTGCATGCACGAGCACCGAAACCTGGAACCCATTCCAGTACTTCTGGGTTCGGCACAGTCCGCAACCTGAAAATGCGCAACCCGCATTTCGGGTAACCTAAGGTATGACTGTAATACTTCTATTATTTATATGCCGCCCATCTGATTGGTTGCCCCAGCCATTCTGGGTGGCTTCCAACAAAATATTAAAACACAAAACCCCCCTGAAACAATTAAAATCTCCCTGTATAGGTCTGCCTTCAGATGTTACATGCGACCCACACTTCTCATCCACCACTACTTTACGTTCTGGCCATAAAAGCTAAAGATACGCTTCTAATATTCTTCCATGCCACAAAGTCAGCTTTAGCAAGGGCCAGCGAGGTGTCTCCCGCTCCTGGGACTTACTTAGCAGTGTGAAAGATTTTGGCTGGAGACTGACAATGGTTTTTCAAACGGGTGAAGGTGATAGAAGAGAGAGAGAGCCATCATTGTGCTCTGGTCAAAGCAGTTTTGCAGATTTTTGAAGCTTGACAAAACTTATCAAAAACTATTTGCATCATAGTGAGAGTGTCACACAGGTATGGAGGACTCCATCATACCAGAATGGAGAAAATGCTGGTCAGATGGCTTCTTCAGGAAGCCAGAAGCAAAGTTCAGCCTGTTACCTATTTGTCTTTTCCCCTCCATAATTGTAGGTTCCCAAACTGCTCTCCCAGTCCACTTGAAAATTGTATTGGTAGAGAACTTAATGGTGGTCCCCCCCCATTGTAGAAATGGTACTGTGCTGTGCTAGATGCTGTGTGGTTTTTACTTGTATTTATGGACACACCATGGACTACCTGCATGAAGCTCCTGGATCACCAGCTGTTCATGGGCCAGTTGAGGAATCCTTTCCTTGGGATATACTCACCTCCTCCCTTGCTGGGCTGGTTTGGAACAAATCATAGAATTCTAGAGTTGGAAGGGACCCCGAGGGCAGTGTTAGAAACTGAGATAAGAAAGCTAGGAGTTAAATGGCACCTTAAAGGTAGCTTATGGGCGCAACAATGGAATGTCTAGGTGTACTTTTTTTATAACAAGAATACAAAGATGAAAATGAATGAACTGCAGCTAAAATACTATGTTCATTTTTCACACTGTCTAGTCCTTCTCCTGCCCACCCCCCTAATATTCATAAGAGGGTCTCTTCTCCAGTCTTCAGAGAGTAGCTGGAAGTCGGGAGGCAAAAAAGGTCCTCCTTTCCTCCCACTCTGCAGTTTTATTCTGAAATGTTAGGTGAAGTACTGTGCCCAGAGCTCAGAAACTGCTCTTGCTAATGAAATTCCCTGTGGCAAAATGCACCATGGGAGTTTCGAACACTGCCCAAGGGTCATTTAGTCCAACACCCTACAACGCAGGAATTCTGCTCATAGCTGTCCCTGGGTAGGCTCAAACCACCAACCTTCTGGTTAACAGCCAGATGCATTGACCCACTGAGCCACAGGAGGGCTCTTATGATGATACTCTTATGATAGCTAAAGTAGGCAACATGACCTGCTTCATTCACATGGCCACAAGCACAAATGAATGGTGGGCATTCTTCTAATCTCTGTGTTATGTGTATACACACACATTCTCTCTCTTTTACTGGGGCATCTACATGTCTTTTAGTGAATCACTTCCCAAGAGGCATCCTGAAGCAATGGCCATTCTTGATGTTAATTTCCTCTTTGCAGGAGCTATATAAAAGTGCTGTTAGTCCTGTTACACTGGAGGCAAATGAAGGCCTCAACAACACCTCCCTCCTGGATTAATACTCCTGGAAGTTCTGTGGTGCTGACTGCTTGAGTACATGATTTTAAATGTTTGATAGTGTGCTAAAATATTTTCATTGTTGTTGCTTACATAGACCTGACCATCCCTCACAAAACATGTTTTGGCATGTGATGGTATTAGGTACAGTGTGTGTTCAGAAGCCTGCTCTTTCCCTCTTTCACCCCCTGCCCCAAAGGAAAAAACCCCGCTGGTGGTTGTTATGGGACAACAGTAGCTACCAAGTTCTAAGAGATGTTTGCTTTATTTTCTGTATTTTGCATGGCCTTCCAGTGAGTGTTAAGTGTCATGCACACATCACACACACACACACACACACACACACACAGAGAGAGAGAGAGAGAGAGAGAGAGAGAGCGAGAGAGCGTGTACATTGGAAAAGTGAAAGTGTTCTTGCAGCCTCATTGTCCTTGACCAACTTCCCCCCATTCCTGCCGTTGCCTCATTAAAGAAAAGGAAGCTGGAAGATAAAAAGTATCCAGGGAGAAAAAGGAACCAACTGAACACTGATGTGAAGTGTGCTTCAAAAAGCAGCCTCCTTTCATCTAACCGTTGTTTAATGCGCCTTTTCCCTTTAACAAGAGGAATTTATTTTAATCATCACTGAAACGTTCCATTAAAAAGAAGAAAAAGACAACAACAACAGCAGTAGCAGCAGAGGGATGTTGCTAGTGAAATCTATGCAGACTTAACAGCTCAGGGATTACCCTAGAGAAGTGAATGCTGCAAAAGCTTTGTGAACCTGTCTGAGAACGAGAGCAAGCAGCATCTTCAAGGATTAATGAAGAACTCTGCCGATATAAAAGAAATTGTTTCTTTTCTGGGGCCGCTGCTGTGGGAGATGCAGAAAGCATGGCGAGGCCAGATAATCAGTCGGCTCAGACCCTCCTTTTTCAGGGAGGCAGATTTTGGTAAGCTTAAATGCTTCGGAGTGATTTCAACAAAAAACCCTTAATTTTTTTCCCTTCCCCAAAAACACAAGCTGCGCAATCACAATTATTTCTTAGCAAAAAGCTCACATTTTATTTGCCATTAGACACCTGCATGATGCTAAATCGTTCAGATGTGCTATGCTTTCTCTGCAGCTAAATATACTAGTACCAAGAAGGAAAAACACATTTGTCCTTGATACTTCAAAATGTTCCAAATAAACCAGGTTAACACATATCCATTAGGAATACTCTGAGCTCTCCCAGGCTCACAACCTGCAAGGATCACACTCCCTGTCCTACATGCCAGAAGGATTGCTCTGGCTACATGCGTCGTGAGCCATTCTCATAATCTAGCTAAATGTGCCACTTGATTGTAAACCTCAATGATAAAACCAAGCAGCTTCCCTTCTTACTGTGATCTCCAAGCTATGGGGATTTCTTTGAGGAAATCAAGTTTGAAGTTCTTCTCCCCGTATTCTGTCCATATGGAATTCATGTGATACACAACCTCTTGGGATGCTTCCCCACTCTTACAAGGGCACTCTAAATCCTGTTGGGATTCAGTCTTACATCTTGTCCTTTCATGCGCTAAACCACAGAGGCAGCCTCCAATTGAGATACCTATCTGCATGCCTTTGATGCAAAGAACTTCCTCCCTGTAAGTATTCCCACAATGCAGGGTGGCCTAACTTTTAATACCGACTGGGCCTCAAGAGTACTTCAATATAGAACCCACAAGCCACACACTGCTTTGTTGTGTGGTGCAGGGGGCAGGGAGGAGCAAGACCGAAATTTTATGCCCCCACAGCCCTCATGCTGCCTTCCCAAAGCCATTTAAGCAAGGAGCTGGGCTTTGGGAAGGAGGCTTGAGGCTCTGACAGGGTCCTAGAGCCCTCCCACCTCCTTCCCAAAGCTGGGATAGCGCTAACTAGCTTTGGGAAGAAGAAGGGAAGACTCTGGGACCCTGTCCTAGCGCCTCCTTACCTGGCTTTGGGAAGGCAGTGCAAGGGCTGTGGGGCAGTGTTGTCCAAGGTTGCTGGGGGCCACCAAAAAGGCCTTGGGCATGCAGCCCTTGGGCCACGTGTTGGAGCACCCTTCTATAATGGTAAAGCTTTTCTGCCTACAAGCCTTCTTAAGCTGATTCTGCCACACACAGATGTCCATGCTGTAATGCTAGCTGGGATGGGATTACTAACCTCAGGTATAAAATAAACCTGATTATGCTCCCTTATTTAATGCTGTCTTAGCTAGAAACCAATGTTTTTACCCTGCTGTTTTACATATTGTAAACAATTATCAACCTCGTTTAAATGTATCCTTTTCTGAACTGGCTGGATTTTGTCAGACCAAGTCACCCAAGAACTGAGTGGGAAGATATAATATAGTGTGTGGGGAGTACCTTTCAGACATTTGCACAGCTGTGTGGAAATATTTTCATGAACACCACCCGTGCAGCTGGGTTTTAACAACCTACCCATGCTCAGAAAGCCAAAAGTCTTATTTTTTAATCAGAGGTGGCAGATATAGATTTCAGCAGGTGGGAGCAATGATTTGGAAGCATTTTAGAATGAGTAGTAAAGTTGGAGTAACTAAGACAATGATCCTCAGCATTTTCATGTGTAGACTAAGTGACACTAGGATCATTTTGGGTCTTGCTTCCAAGTAAATATGCTGAGGAATGGGTTGCAGTACTAATTTATCAACCACGCTGGGGAAAGGGATCACACAGGAGCAAAATCCAGGTCTATGACAATGACCCATTCACATAACCCCCATTATGTGACAAAATATGATGAAAGACTGGTTTTGTTCATTGTTTTGTTCAAGTGGACACGCAAACTTGGCTGGCGACACTCGAATAATGGCCTGCATTTTGCAGCGCAGCAAATTGGGATCAGGACAGTTGCCACTGCAGGCTTTCTTGCTTTTGTTCTGTGGGATTAGAGGAGTTAATCAGAGTGACAGTGACTTCTGACTTTATACTGTTAAAAAGGTCACAAACTTGAGGCTGCATTGTTTTTTCTGGCCAGCATGCGAAACAATACATGGGAGAGCTTGCAGCATTCATGTAGCACAGTGCATTCCGCCATGAAATATCAACCAGGAAGAAAATGCCATCTCAAAAGGGTGAGCAAAAGGTCACAGGGTCAGGTTACATTTGTGCTGGTACATCTGGACTATTCATCATGCCATTCTTCCCATAACAGGTGATGACACTCTCCCACTTCAATGTTAGTAATGGCTCCAAGATCAATAGCTAAAATGCATATGCTCCCTGAATCTGGTCAATTAGATTCTCAGTTCCAAGCTCTTGTCAAGGACCCAGAGGCTGGGCTGCGGAAACCTCTGACTGTCAGATCCAGGCTAGGGAAACTTAACCCTACTGACACCCCCATGCAGGGAATCCTAAGAAAAATGCTTATTTGGGAAATGCAAAACAAAGCCAAGCATATTACAAAATAAAGGAACACAGGACAATGTCTCCCACCTCACTACACTGATTTTGCTTTAGTGATGGTAAATACAACAAATTCAGGGCCAGTGCATGAAATTAAGAAGTTACAATATACCAACATCACTAAATTGAAATGCCTTCTTCTTCAGAGTTCCAAAAGGCTTGTGTCTATAGTCACGAGTTGCTCAGTTGTCATGCAAAATGTGAAGACAAAAAGTCAGAGGTAATCCCTCTTATAGAAAGAAGAACTTCATAACCATGTGAGTTAATTGGCAAATATATTTCTTTTATTTCATAATGAGCAGTGCATTAGACATGGGTGACTGCGAGAGAGGGAGCATGAAAGGCAGTTTTCCTGTTAAAAATAAGAAGGTATCACTTAGTAGGTGGTGTCTGGGTAGGATGTTTAGCCTACAGCAGACTTAAACAGATGTGGAATCTATAGTACAGTGGTACCTTGGGTTAAGTACTTAATTCGTTCCAGAGGTCTGTTCTTAACCTGAAAGTCTTCTTAACCTGAAGCACCACTTTAGCTAATGGGGCCTCCTGCTGCCGCCACGCTGCTGGAGCAAGATTTCTGTTCTCATCCTGAAGCAAAGTTCTTAACCCAAGGTATTATTTCTGGGTTAGCGGAGTCTGTAACCTGAAGCGTCTGTAACCTGAAGCGTATGTAACCCGAGGTACCACTGTACATACATGAAACAGAAGACAGATCTGATACAGTGATCCTTTTTCTGCTCCCCTCTTCTTTCAGTCGGTCTTTTTTGGAGTGGGGAGTGTTCCTAATGGAAGTACTACAGAGCTGGTGTATTTTTTTCTCCTGTTCTGGGAGTGAGTCAGGGGAATGGGAGGGCAGCTCCAAAGCCTTTCCCAACCCCAGTCCCAGAATGCTCCCTTTTCTGGCCTCTCCATCAGAGCACCGGTGGCAGAAGAGAAACAGCAGCAGACCCTTCCGTGGTGGCTGGGATGGGAGTGTGGAGTATCTGCAGAATCCTATGGCAAGGTCTCACTACTGCCAGCAACTGTGCTGCAGTGTCCTTCACTAACTGTAGCTTCTGGATCAAATGCAAGAGACGCTCCACACAGAGTGCATTTATCCAATTAAAGCATTCGTCCTCTTTTAAAAAATCAATTAAAAGATACTTTTTAAAAAAACCTATCAGGAGAAAAAAAATTATGTTAGTAGTCTTAAACCAGGAGGTGCTAATGCAACCTTAATATCCAGGATTATGATTATTTTTTGCCTTGGAAACATCTACCATGTGTCTAATTGCAACCTTTGGAATCTGACACTGACAGTCTGGGCAGCAAGGCTCCCTGCTTCATGCAGCCTAGACTTGCCCATAGTTCTTCCTTTGCAGTAAGAAGAATCTGAATGTCTGGTGCATCGCTAACCACCTCTAGCTCTGATTAAAACAGCATGAACGTCCATGACATTTGTGCCTGTCAGGCCCGTCATCAAAAGGTGGCGCCCTCTTTGGAACTCGGTGAAGAATGTGTATGAATCATTATTGCTCAGAAAAGTTTCCACGTTGAAGCCTTCCTGCTCAGCCTCACGCACCAGCTCCTGGCTGCTGAAGGCCCCGGCAGCCTCTGTCGGCCCATCTTGCCCATCAGTTCCGCCACTCAGGAACACGACTTCGTATTTCTCCAGAAAGCTGCCGGCCTCCGTGGACTTGGCTCTGTGCAGCTCCAAAGCCACTCGCAGAGCCAGCTCTTGGTTCCGTCCCCCCTTCCCACTTCCTCGAAGCTGCACGGTGGTTTCTCCCCCGGCCAGAAGGCAAACGGGTCTTCCTGCTTGGGATTCTTGCAAAGCTTTCAAAGCGTCCGTACAGTTCAAGCCCGGGATCGCCAGCTGTGCTTCCAGGCCAGAGAGTGCTGCTTCCACCTTGCCTTTCAAAAGGTCAGTCTGGGCACCTCTTGCAGTGCTCAGGCAAATGAGCTGAATCAACAGGCTGTAGAGACGAGCCACTGTGCCGACCTCCCCACACACCGTGTCACTCAGAACCAGGGTCAAGTAACCCAGCTCCTCTGCCTGGCCCCGGGCTTCCTCCAAAGCTAACCTGTTCGAGCCAATGACAACGTTGAAGACGTGGGAATAGTCTTTGGGAGTGTTATGCCCCGTGGCAGAGCCAGACAGCACGGTCTGCACCGACTGCGGCAAGGTGTCCAGCATGTTGTATCTGGTCAATATGTGAAAACAGTCCTGGGCGCCGTGGGAACTGGCAACAGTGGGGCCGCTTGCAATGATGTCCAAAGGATCCCCAATGACATCAGAGAGGATGAGGCTCAATACCTAGAAGCAAGAAGGGCAGGAATGGCTCATTAACATTCCACTGTGTCTGCTATGAATTTGAGTCTTAACTGCAAGAGGAGAAGGAGGAGGGTGTGATCCTCCATGCATGCTGATCACACGGGGACTGCAAGATCGTGCGATGACTTGCACAGGGTGAAACAGCCCACAGAGGGGGCTTCCCATCCCCTCATAACACTTCGGGAGCAACTGGTTTCAAAGCAGGCACTTTATAGATTCAGCTGTAAGTCAAAGAGCCTGAAATCCTAACCAAACGACGCAGAAAGTCAACCCTGCTGAACTCCATAGGATTTATGCTGAGGATTAGGGCTGCAATGTTTAAATAGATTCATGCGTACTTATAAAAACCGCAGATAGCAAGCACCGTCTTTGAAACAAGGCATTTCTCCCTTTAGGGAATGCTTCTGAGATGACGCCTTCTGCAGCAGGTGTGCATTGCCTAAATACAAAGTATACTTGAGAGCTGTGCGCAGATTAACGTAATAAATTAATTTGGCATTTCTCAACGTGGAGGCCACAGCACTGTTTCAGATGGGCTGCCCTGTCCCTATCCCTCCCAGGAAGTTGGAGGCACTGCCATGAGCTGGCTGCCTTTCTCCGCTTACCACTGCAGCTGCACCAAGGGAGGGCGGCGAGGGGAAGCAAATGGCTGGAGCTACGTTATCATCAAGCATCCTTACTGACCAAGGAGCAGCCAGCAGCCTCTTTCTCCTCCTCCTGGCCCAGGTGGAAGACAGATATTGCCAGCAGCTGCTGCTCCAGTCCAGCAGTCATTATGGAGTGGGACAAGCTTCTTCTTTACCATCACCCTTGGCTAACATGCTGCTCCTCCAGGACTGCTTGCCCCCTAGGACTTCATTCTCCAAGGGACTTGGACCCAAAGGCAATGCCTTTTGAATCCCACTGTTGCTGCTGTAGGAGGAAGTGTTTAACAGTGTTGTTATCAAGGCATAGGCTGTGCAGGTAACAGCAGTGGCAGTGAGTCCTGCAGAAGCAGGCATCACAGCAGCAGAGGGTGAGGCAGTGAGAAAGCTAGATGAGGAGGAGAAGGGATTCTCGGTATGTAGAAAGACTCTTGATCAGGGTGCATGTCTTCTGCAAAAATTGGAAGTGAATGACCCAGCCATGTCTTTAAACACTGCACTGAATACATCAGCCGTGCCACTGGTGAGCAACTGCATTTGAAAATGACTCCAAGAGTAGCAATCTCTTTCCCACCACTCTGACAGAATTGATTTCTGCCCTTCGCTTTTCTTTGAGAAACAGCTGACCCTTCCCAGTCCATGATTAAAAAAACATATATTAATGTATAAGACTTCTGGAGTTGTTAAATATTAAAAGTATTCTACCCTCCCTGCCTCTTACCCCCAACCAACTATGTGCAAATTGTGTGAAATGTGAATTAAGAACTAGGCATATACCTAATTAATTCGCATAATCCACAACTGCTGTATAAACTGGGATTTTGATTGGATACTTTGGGATTTTTAGCACAGAATTCCATTATCCTGCTAAAGTGGTCTGTTCAATAAAGAGACCCTAATCTATTGCTTCTTTTGCATTCATTCATTTCAAAAAGAAACTTCAGAGCTCTGTGGTTATGCAAAGGCAGTGTAAAAAATATGGAAGAATCCTCTGGTAATGGCTTCAGAGCTTAAAAAAAAAAAAAAGGTTTCACCAAGGTTGGGCTTCTACTAATTTCCAGAGGGGCACATTTTTTTTAGGGATTGGGAGACAACATGGTACACTCCAATTGCTGCTGGACTACATCTCCCATCACCCCTGACCTTAGGCCATGAGGACTTCAACTGATTGGAAGTTGGGAGTCCAGCAACGTCTGAAAGGCACCACGTTAGCTTGTCCTACTTTAGTGGCTTTTAAATACCCTGTTGCCTTTCCATTTCCCCACCATCCTCCTTCCTTTCCAAGCTCAGCCTCACTCCTGCACAAAGGGAAAGGGGAAAAAACAAGAAATGAAGAGCAGACATATTTTAAAAAGACTTCCTCTCCGATTTGTGTGTGTGATTACATAGTTCATTCTGGGTGTGTTATTTGGGGTTTACCACTTCACTGTCCCCACAGTCTTGAGCGCAATCCGGAAGCAGATCTCTCATGAGTGCTAAGCAGACAGATGTTGGTCATTTTTCAAGGTCAGTAGCCCACCATTCTTCAGATTCTTTTTGACTACCTGCCATCTTCTCTTCAGCTTCACTGAAACTGAGCTGACCAAGTTTATGCTCACTGATGTTAAGGAGGGCAAAGCAGCAAGATAAACAGCAAACAAACAACTTGCCCACTCCTTCTGCACTTCAAGTTTATCCATGCCACCCACATCTGACCTAGAGTTACAAAAGATATTCCTTTCTAAATGTTCACAGAGTTGCTGGGCAAAGTCAGACAGCATCTCATACCCACCTGGGCAGGATAGGCAGCCCTGTGCCAGCCCCCCACCTTTCAACAAGGAGAGGGCCTTTCGGATGGTGTTCAGCTCGTGAATGGTAGCTCCCTTTGAAGCAAGTAACCTGGTGATGGTTTCCTTCTCTTCCAGGGTGACTGGCGGGATGGGCGCAGGTAAAAGTGCCGACCCTCCTCCTAAAATGCAGGAGAACTTCACAGTCAGTACATCTTTACACAGCGGGGCTCCTTCTCATGACCACACACAGAGCAGTCCTGTATCAGAAAGAGAGCAATGGGAGACATTTTGCAGGCAGCTTTCCCCTTTCCCTTGCACTGGAAGCATATTTTTCCCTAATTCTTTTCAGCTGCACGCATAGCTTATTGGAATGACAACTGGGAGTGCTTTTTACCAAGTGGCTGAAGCAGAGATTCGCATAAAGACTCCTGAATGCATTAGTCCTCCTTCTCGAACATACATCACTGTTTCATCAACGACTCAGTACAGTTCTGAACCTGTAAAATCACAGCATAAGTAGCTCCAGCAACTAATGGAGAAACTGTAAAAGACTGGACAGGCTCTTTGTCCTTCAGCTGATATCAAAGGAAGGTGTTTAAATACGAACGCCAAGACAATCAGTTTTGTAATGTGTAAGAAAGGAAAGGGTTTGGGAAATGATGGCGGTAGCAATATAGTCTGAAGGACAGAGGGATCGCTATGGTGAGTGGTGATTGACAGGAATCTGCAGAAAGATTGTCCGGGGGGAACAGGAGTGCGCAGCGGGGGAGAAACAGGAAAGAAAAGATGAGAAAGTGAATGAGAAACAAAATTGCTGCTTTCAGGGATAAGGAACAAGGAGGCAGAGGCTGAAAGTGAATGGGGGGGGGAAAGGAGGGAGATACAGCAACACTGGTATAACAAAGGTTGTGGGGGGGAGGCTGGAATGAGAGAAGAAGTCAAGGATCAAAAAGAGAAGACAAAAAAGGTGGTGGATGATACAGGTCATTGTGAAGAGGAGTCTTCCAATGAGACAAAAGGGGAACCTTCATTCAAAAGTGTGATGGAAAGAAATCTAACATTTGTAACACCACCAGAAAAAAAGATGAGCCTTCTCCACATATTCTTAGAGGCCTCTTTGGAGAGCTTAACCCACTGCTGACCTGGAATCTGTAGAGGACTTTCCTATGCATTCCTATGCATCCTGTCACTCAGTCAAAATATGTGGCAGGAGGGGGAAAGACTGAGGAAGACAGCTGGAAGGCAAAAGGATTTGGGGTGTCCTAGGTCCCAGAGATGATGAGGCATGTTTTAGTGATGAATAGAAGTCAGCAAAAGCATTCTAAAAGAGAACTTTTGTCTTTGGATTTGGGGTTTTTTGTGTGGGAGGAGATGCAAAGCTGTTTTAAAGAAGCTGAACTGACCGTCTTTGAGGGAACTGGTTTGCTAAACGAGCGGCGAGAACATTTGCACAAACATTGGTAAAAAGGATGGCGGGAGTGCCCACATCTCTGACCTCCTTTGTAGCCACGAGCAGGGCTCATTTCCTCTGCTGCCACCTTTCCATTTCTGTCTCTGTAAGTCAGGTGGAACTAAGCGGTGGCCCTCCAGTTGTTGTTGGACTCCAATCCCGAGCAACATCTGGAAGGCCAAAAGTTAGCCACCCATGAGGCAAACCAAGGCAGCCAAGCACCACCACCTGCTGGCAATTCTTCAGTACCACCAGCTCCATGTGATCAGACGAGGATGGAGGAGGCCAGCTCAGCTATGAAGCTCAATGGGGGGACTTGGGTTAGTCACTCCCTCACCCTAACCTGTTGCGAGGATAAATGCGAGTGGGGAAAAATGATGTCTGTTCCCCTCAGCTTCTTGGAGGAAAGGTAGGATATAAATGCTATCAAGCAAGCAAGCAGCGCCAGATACCATTTTCTCCATGTCCCAGTAGATAGGAGGGAGCCCTGCTCTACATAGGTGTGGTTGCATCTTATTCTTGCCCCTTGCTTCTCTTTCAAGCCAGACCAAACCTAGTTCAGGAAAGACTTGAGAAAAGAAGAAGGATCCCAGACAAGGTTGTCAAACGTAAGACCTGGGGGCTTTATTAGACTTCTTGTGGTCTTCACCGTGGCCTGCGGCATCCCTACTACACTCCACACAAATTATTCATCCAAGGCTCTGGGGCTAGGGAGCAACACTCCTGCCAGGGCAAGTGGCTGTTACCACATGCACTTTGCATCAGCCTCGTCCACTATTCCCTTTAAATTAGCAGCTCAGATGTCAGGGAGGGTGACGTGTACAGGAGAGTGCACACGCATGAAGCAGAACCGAGTGCAGAACGGACAGCTTGCTGGCATTTGCAGCTGAGAAGCAAGGGTGCGGAATAGGCAGCAGTGGCCCACAGAGAAATCTGCAGAAAAGGAGTTGGGTGACAACAGGGATATTTAGACTGGCGGGGGGTGGGTCTTGGAAAAGGGTTGCTGGGTGCTGAAGTCTGGTTTAAGGAATTCCAACTGGGGGCAGTGCTTGCAAAGAGATTTTGTTATGCAAGATGGAGTGGGAAGGAAACTGGTGCTAGACGGCAAAGAAGTTAACCAGCAGACCTGCTACTCCCCGTGCATTAGAGTAGGGGACTTTTCAGTGGATGGTTATGGCTCCTGGGAACCTGCCGGAGGGTAGAGAGCTTTGCCCTGTAATCTGTTTGAATTTGCCACCCCTGATTTACAGAAGGGAGCAGTTTGCCAGGAGAGAACAAGCAAAAGTAACACCATCGCAACGCAGAGCAATCTTCGTTGTTTTATTGACCTCGTTCATAGCGAAGAGTGCTTAAAAAACAGCACCAGGCTATGCAAAATAGAGAAATGAAGTGAACTGCAGATAAAAGCTTGTGGCAAGTGACACAAGGGGATGGGAAAGGGAGGAAAGAAAAATAGCTCAAGCACCAGACGTATTTGCAGCCCGCGTGACGGATGTGCGATCACAACTAACAGGATAACCACAGAGAGATATGATCAAGAGGATTGTGAAAAGAGTAGAGGGCAATCTTGTACCGGAGGCAGCTCAAAAAGCTACCATTAAATGATAAATGCTCTGAGATTTGAGACACAACATCTGGCAAATATGACAAACCAGAGAAGCAACTAAGTAGGCATGACATTTCTTCAGTCACCAGCAATCCAGTCAAGAGTAGCCAGAGAAGGGAGTGTTCTCTTAAATGGGAGTTTTTGAACCAGCTTCCAAAAACACAGAGCTGGCTACAGTAGGCTTTGAGGGTCTAGAGCTCTTGCCAATAAAAAGGTAGCCAACGAGCAAGGAGATTCCCATCATACAACCCTTTCATTCAGGTAGATCCATTTTTGGAGGGCAGAATCCTCTCTCCCGAGCATGGCAGATTGCTTGTACACTGTGAAATGGAGGGACCCAGCTGCCGGGACCCACAGTGGATAATGAAGAATTTAGCTCCCTGTTGAGTTGATTATGGAAACATTGAGGGATGGTCATGGGAACATTTGTATGTATAAATGTATGTATGTACGTATGTATAAAATGCATGTATTTTCCATGGTAAGAATCAGTGGATGTTTCTGCACATGAGGAGTGAGAATATTTTGGAGACCACATTCTCCCCACTAAGTTCCCTAACAATTGCTCTGGTCGAACCTCCACATATTAAAATATTATCAGGCGTCCAAGCCAGTATTCTTAGTTGGTACCTCCCAGAACTGGAATTTCTTCCTCCTGCAGGCCCACAAATCTCTGACCTAGTATATTCATACTTTTTCTGTGTTAAGGAAATACTGGAGTTTATGTTTGGGTTGTGTGGATATCTGTGCTTTAAAGGTAAAGGTAAAGGGACCCCTGACCATTAGGTCCAGTCGTGGCCGACTCTGGGGTTGCGGCGCTCATCTCGCTTTTTTGGCCGAAGGAGCCGGCGTACAGTTTCCGGGTCATGTGGCCAGCATGACTAAGCTGCTTCTGGCGAACCAGAGCAGCGCACGGAAACACCGTTTACCTTCCCGCCGGAGCGGTACCTATTTATCTACTTGCACTTTGACATGCTTTCGAAGTGCTAGGTTGGCAGGAGCAGGGACCGAGCAACAGGAGCTCACCCCGTCATTGTGGGGATTCGAACCGCCGACCTTCTGATCGGCAAGTCCTAGGCTCTGTGGTTTAACCCACAGCGCCACCCGCATCCCTATCTGTGCTTTACTACTTTTTATATTGCTGAATTTTTACCTACCCTAATCTTTAATACAGTGGTACCTCTGGTTACGAACGCTTCTGGTTACAAACGCTTCAGGTTATGAGCTCCCCTAACCCAGAAGTAGCTGCTCCTGGTTGCAAACTTTGCCCCAGGATGTGAACGGAAATCATGCGCCGCAGGCACGCGCGCAGCGGGAGGCCCCATTAGCAAAAGCGCACCTCAGGATAAGAATGGTTTCAGCTTAAGAAGGCCCTCCGGAACAAATTAAGTTCGTAACCAGAGGTACCACTGTAATAACATATAGCAGACGTCAGTGCTTAAAATAAATAACTTACTGCACTAGTATCAAGTATGTACAGCTATACAAATTTAGCTGAAATGCATTCTGAGTGATGCACAGATAAATTGCTTCTTGTTCTATCCTTCTTTTGCCCCTGCTCATCCATTTCTGTACCAGCTTTGCATTACAACAAATTTGGCATCCATAACGGTGGCAGACACAGTAGACGTAGGTCTACACTCTGAAAAAGTTAATATGAGGAAAGCAGGTATAGCAGTTCTTCTGAGCCATATAAGATTTTAAAGGTCAAAACTAGCTCTCTGAATTGCACCCAGAAAAAACAACAACAACCTGGCAGTCAGTACAGTTGAGTCAGAATCGGTGCAATATGCTCATGCCCTCCTAGTTACCAATTTCGCTGCTGTATTCTGCACTAGCTGTAGCTTCTGAACCATCTTCAAAGGCAGCTCTGTGTACAATGCACTGCAGTAGTTGAACCTGGAGGTTATCAGAGCATACACAGCATAAGCCAGGCTACTCTCACTCACGTAGTGTCACAGCTGGGCTACCAGCCACAGCTAGCAGAAGGTGCTCCACACCACTAAGGCCAATTGTTCCTCCAATGACAGTGCTGGATCCAAAAATAACTCAGGGCTGCACATCTGTTCCTTTAAGGGAAATGTAACCTCATAAACAACTGGATGAATTCTACTCATTGAGACAGAGGAAGTGTCCACTAACAGACTTATCTGGATTGAGCTTCAGTTTGCTGGCTCTCATCTAGTCCATTACCAAGACCAGCACATTCACTGCCACACCTACCTGGGGGCGGGAGGTGAGGGAAGCAGAGTTGCATGTCATCAGCATCCGGACAACAGCATGGGGGGATAAAAGCAAACCATGTAAAACTCACATCGGAGGCTTCATGGGTCTGAAAAACACCCCCCAAGCACCAATTCCCGAAGCTGGCCATCCAAGCAGCTCCCCTGGCTTCCAACTCAGAGACACTAAGGAAGCCATAGTTAATGGGATCGAAAACTGTCAGGAAATCAAGGAGTCGACATGGACACACTCCCCCTGCCTCCCTCCCAAATGCAGAGGAACCTACAGGCAATCAAGGCAGTTCCAGTGCCAAAACCAAACCTGAACCTAGGAAACCAGTGTCATCCAAGATATGACTGAAGTGCCAAGCACAACTTCTTAGGCCAGCTTCCATCTACAGGGCAGTAACACAATCTGTGGGTGAATCACATTATTGCAGAGTTAGAAGGGACCCCGAGGGTCATCTACTTCAACCCCCTGCAATGCAGGAATCCTGCCCACAGCCATCCCTGTTTGGGCTCGAACCACCAACCTTCTGGTTAACAGCCAGACCCACTGCACCACACTCAGCATGCAGCAATACAACAATCCATATAATAAAGCTACAGGCTTCCTGTTCTGATATCACCTAAGCTCCTTGTCAAAAGGCAAGTTGCATGACAGCACGCCAAATGCAAATAAAAATACAGAATATTTCATTTTCTTCTCAACTCATTCAGAGCAGCTTCCAGACAAGTTTCTTTAACCCTGCTCTATGTAGGCTCAGTGCCCCCTGCCAATTCCACAGCACTTTAGAAGAGCATTGCTTTTGTGTTTTCTGGTTCAGGGCTGCCATCTCCTGGAGAAAGCGTACCTTGCCACCTCCAAGTGCATGCGAGTGTTGTGAGAAACAGAGGCAAGAGTGATGCTTTGAGAGAGCCAGGAAACATCAGTGCAAGAACAGAGCTCTAACGCAGAGATTAATCCCCAAGTGAGACCCACAGATCTCAAACTACTTAACAAGAAAGGTGAGGCAGGAAGACTGAAACAGAGAAAGAAAGAGAACAACTGATGAAGATCACATAGCAAAATCTATTTCAGCAGAGTATTTATTGATGCAGAGAACTAAATGTTAGCATTCCACATTACGCTTTTGTCCACTCCAGCAGGATTCCCAAAATGCAGCTTTCCTTGAGATGGAGAAACAGAGGCAGATGGCAGACAGGACTACCTGGGTCAACAGTGACACTGTTTCCAAAGCAAGCAGGTAGAGAGAGGAGAGGAAAATGCAATTATCCTGCTTCTAGAAGAGCACATTCGAACACACAAGCTACGAAGCTGCCAGCAGCGTGGGAGTCACACTGGGGAACAACTCTGAGCCACTTTACGCTCCAGTTCTGCTTTCTTTGCACAGACAAATTGACCTAGTTTGTTAGGTAAGCTTGTGCAGTGGCTTCTTCCCTTCACAAGCGGGAGGAAAAAATATATATAAATCAGATCAGAAAAGGGGGAAAGAACGGTAAGGAAGCTAATGGAGGAAGGGAGGACAGGCTCTCTCCGTAAAACCTGAGTCCCTGTCCTGGAATCCCAAGGCATTACCTGAGATCAGCACCAGGAGAAGGTCCCCAGCTGTCAGGCCCTCGGCCAAATCCCGGATAGCGTTGGCTGCCTTCAGAGCTGCTCTGTCAGGAAGGTTGTGCTTAGCTCCTTCCATAACTTGGATGCGGCTCCGGGGCTTCAGCAACATTGCCCTGTAGAGGTTAACATAAGATGAACAGGTTCTCTGCTGGCACATGCTCGGCCTACCATTGAAAACCCCTGCAAACGAAGAGCTACGGGGCAGTTCCTTCTGAATGACTGTGAGATGTCATCATTTTAATAGATCCATTGCCCAGTAGGCTGACAGTTGCTCGGCTGAGGCCTGACAGTGTCATACCCTCAAGAGCTAGGAGGTCCTAATGAATGAAATTCCAGCCTGATTCCAGCTGAACAACCAACCAGGGTGATCAAAAGCAGGACAAACATCATCACTGCCTACCTAAGATGTGCATGCACATGCGACAAAAAAGCAACAGAGGGCAGTATCCACCTAAACAGGCCTGCCAGCGCAAGCACTTTTAAACACTCAGTCAAAATTCCTCTCCCTCTCCTTTTGAGCACCCCCTAAATATGTCCTGGGGGTTCTCCAACTCTCTAAATTTAGGGGGCACATAGGGAAAGGGGGGACTTCTATTGTGCAGCCCAAAGTGCTTGCATTAATGGGGTTGTGAAGCTGGAGAGGCTGCTATTCAGGCATAACAATCCATTCTGCAGGGGCAAATGATCCCACAGCATTTCAGCTAAATGAGGCTGCTGTTTTGGATCTATCACAGATCTAGTTTTCCTAGGAAATACAGTACTCTAGGAAGCCCTAAGTAGCAAAACTGTAACACATCCCAAAACAACAACAGCCCTTTAACAGCAAAACTAGGTAGGAGTTTAAAGTGGTTAGTCCACAGTAAGAAAAAAGTCTGGAAAATTTCTCTCTAAAGGATCTACAGCGCGCAACCAAAATGGTAGCACGGACTGTTGTTTGTAACAGGGACATTCCTCTACTGTCTACTTTTTTAAAAAGCCTCTGGGCCTGGGTTTAGATGGCAGATACTTCTGACAGAAAAGTGAAGATCAGATTGTTCAGTACACAACCAAGAGTGAGAAAGAAGTCGTGTCGTCAGTAAGGGGGACCTTGAGGCTGCTCCCCCAGGCCTGGTTGTGTATTTAAATCACCCTCCAACAGGCCCTGCTTCCTCACACCCCACTCTAGGATGGTTATTATTTTAAACAAAACGTGGACTAGAAATGCCCTTAACAAACCAATACCTCCTTCCTGTGTGCTGCAGAGTTTCTTGGATGCCTTGAGGAACACTAATTACTCCCCGGACAAGGTAGTCTCCAAAGATGTCCTCTGCTGCAGCTGCCATGCCCAGGACAGCCTTCCCAAAGCCAACCAGATACAAGTTCCTCCTCAGTTCAAAAGGCCGACCGTGCAACACAAGCCTTGGGCATTCGCCTGGCTCCAAAACCAGGGCCCTTTTCAGCATAGGCCCTGGCAGGACTCTGGCAACAGCGCTGCGGAATAAATGAAGTCCATGCTCCTGGAGGGCCATGTTGGGGGAAGACGCCTCACGAGTGAAGCAAGCAGTGGAGCGCCAGCAAGTTCTGCCAACAACAGGCCAACCCTTAAAGAGAGAGGCCATGACCCAAGTTGTTAACCAGCCGCAGTTTTCCTGCAACAAGGGACAGGGGAAATTAATATTTTGAGCCGCACTATGAAATCAGGGGGCGAGAAAGAGACGGAGGACAGGTGATGGGTTTCTCTCCACTCCTAACTTACCCATCTCACAGAAGCTCTGCATGTACTCTTGCCTCAGCCTCCACAACTGAAGAGCCTACTCACTGCCCCCTGGGAAAGTCCAGAGGTCTTCTCGCCTACCCAATTTGATGGATCAAGTGAGGAAGTTAATAATTTACAGAGCAGGGCTTGCTTGAAAGTCATTTGCCTTCCATTAGGTAACTAGACAAACTAGATGAGGCAAGTTAAGCAGAACGGTATATTTAGAAAAGGACAGTATACCAAACTGCCTTCTCCCACACCAAAAGCAGAGTGGGGTAGACTGGAAGGCTACGAAGCCATTTCTCCGTGATGTTAGGGTTGCAAAGTAAGAAGCTGCAGTGACTAGCTAAGGAATGGAAAGGGTCAAGCTAGCCAGGGAGCTCAGTCATTGGAGAATGAGGAAAAAAACAAGGAACTTCAATGTCCCCACCCAGTTTTGATCTGTAACCACAGCTACTCTACAGTGACATAATGCTGGGGAAGGTAACTCAGCAGGGTCCAGAAGCCAAGTGTCACACAGGGGGATAGAACAATGGAGTCTTCCTACACTGAAGCAGGGGTGAGGAAACTGTGGCCCTCCAAATATTAATGGACTACAACTCCCACTGTTCTTGAGCACTGGCCATGCCAGCCGAGGCTGATGGGACTGGGAGCATGGGCAGACTTTGGTCTTTCAAATTTCAGTGGGACCCTGTGCTAGGCCCAAATTTCACATCCCCCTCTCTCCGCCTCTCGTTCTACTCATCATAGTTACAGTGCCCTGAAGCACCCCCAATGCTCAGCGCCCAGTGCGGTGGAACCAGTTGCACTGCCCTAAATCCGCTTCCATTGGGAGTCCAATATCAGGAGGGTGGCAGGTTGCTTGCCCCTACACCAGGGGTCAGCAAACTTTTTCAGCAGGGGGCCGGTCCACTGTGCCTCAGACCTTGTGGGGGGCCAGACTATATTTTTGGGGGAGAAATGAATGAATTCCTATGCCCCACAAATAACCCAGAGATGCATTTTAAATAAAAGCACACATTCTACTCATGTAAAAACACCAGGCAGGCCCCACAAATAACCCAGAAATGTATTTTAAATAAAAGGACACACTCTACTCATATAAAAACATGCTGATTCCTGACCGTCCGCGGGCTGGATTTAGAAGGCGATTGGGCCAGATCTGGCCCCCAGGCCTTAGTTTGCCTACCCATGCCCTACACTAAAGGGTGCCTTTCAGAAGCAGATGAACCGTACTCCACCTCCTCCCCTTGCCTGAGTTGTAGTTTCCTTGTCAGGAGGGAACAATAGTTTTGTGTTGCTTTTGTAGTATCCATCTGTAAATGAAGAGGTTGAACAGGTGGCAAAAAGACAGGCCCTGCTAGCTGCTAAGCAACAGAAGCCTCCAAAAGCAAGAAAAGCACTCCAGACTTCCCTCACCCAACGCTGTCTGGCAATAAATTCCAAAAACTAGATTCCGCCCCAACCCAAAAAAGAAATTCGTAAGTGCATCCGATTTTTAAAAATAGCAGCCTCCAGCCTGCACTTCAGGTACCTTGTGTACAGGGCAAAAGCACTGGGGTATCATCCACAGACTGATGACACCCAATTCTGTCATCAGGCAATCTAGAAGCACCGGTGACAGTTCTGAAAACCAACGTCTGGAGGTCAGGGTTGAATGGATGGTGACTAAATTGAGACAAGGCAATTTTTGCTCTGAGGAGGCAAAAATGCTTCAGATAGGAAGGGGGGGGAATACTGTTTACTGACTGGGCTTGCATGTGGCCGTGCTTCCTGACCTGGTATACCTCCTGGAATCTCAGGTTGCCGGTTTGGCAACAAGAGATTCCATCTGATATGTCAACTGAGCCCTCTCCTAGATACAGAGGATCTTGTCTATGTCACGTGTCCCTTTGTAACCTCCAGGACGGACAAGTACAACGTGCTTCACGTGCACTGCCCTTGAAGACTGTTTAGAAATTCAATTTCTTGCACGAGTTGGGAGGGGTGTGTTCAACCAGTGCAGCCAAGTGCACCAACCAGCCATGCATTCCCAAGGCATGGGAAACTGCCACACAAGGTCATACAAGGCTTTATAGGTTTAGAGCTATAAAGCCCTGTATGGTTCAGTTTCTTGGCTCCCACCAGCCACTTGGAAGTGAAATGCATGGTCTTTGAAGTCCGCTTGAAAGCAATTTCAACACAAACTGTTTTGCAAAGGGGCTTCAAAGGCAATGTGTCTTAACATCCACCAGCTGATAGGCAGTGAGACCTCACTCTTGAAGTCCATTTCCAAAGGGACCTCAAAGGCAAGCCCTTTTTCAAGCTGTCACCTGTTGTCATGTGACGGAGAAGTAGGTGTTGTTCCACAGTGGATGGGGGAAGGAAGGATCCTGCCAATCCCCACCTCTGGTTTAGACCTTTTATATCTTTTAGACTCAAGGCTAGCAAATGTGATAGCCTCCAGATATACATAGCTGGACTCAGTCAATTTCCACCAGCACAGAGGGATGATGTGTATTCCAGCAGCATCCTGAAGGCGCTGCTTTGGGTGACACAGAGCAAGTGACACAGAAGACCAGGGAGCTTTATCAATCTGCTGGGGGAGGAAAGAGGTGGGAGCATCTCTTCCAGAAGCATAAGACAAGATGCAAACCTCTCAAGGTGCTGAAGGAACCGGCCTGCTTCATTTCGAAAAAGCAACCCACAAGGCCTTTTACTAAGTAATGTCTGTAGAGAGGCACGTGCCTGTATTCAACCATTTTTTACTCAGAGCAGCTCACTGAAATCAAGAGACCTAAATGAGCCATGGCCATTAATTGCAATGGGTCTACTCCAAATAAAAGTTAGCTGAAAACAACTGGACTCTGCCCTGAGGAGTTTTTGCAAACCAACTTGCAACAGTGGAAAAGACCACAGAAGAAGGGAAGGGAAAGGACGAACAGGTGAGACAAAAGTAACAAGGGGCAAATGTCATGGAAGTCCCAGTGCATCAGCTTAGCCTTGTGATAATTTTGCTCCAAACTCTGGATGTGTATGCTGTATTAGCTATTTAAATCTATTGTTATCAGAGTGTACGTTTGTGGTATTTAGTCAGCTGCTTTGGTCTGCAAAAGTAAAACCAGGCTATAAATATGGAAAGAAGAAGAAGAAGAAGAAGAAGAAGAAGAAGAAGAAGAAGAAGAGGAGTTTGGATTTGATATCCCGCTTTATCACTCCCTTTAAGGAGTCTCAAAGCAGCTAACATTCTCCTTTCCCTTCCTCCCCCACAACAAACACTCTGTGAGGTGAGTGGGGCTGAGAGACTTCAAAGAAGTGTGACTGGCCCAAGGTCACCCAGCAGCTGCATGTGGAGGAGCGGAGACGCGAACCTGGTTCCCCAGATTACGAGACTACCGCTCTTAACCACTACACCACACTGGCTCTCATTTGCTACCAGACCGAAAACCCTCATTTGCTAGCGGACCAAAAATGAGCACAGTTCACAGCTCCACTGACGTTTTCCCGTGGGGAAGTGAATGGCACTTTCAAAGCCGCCGCCCCTTTGCTTGCATCTGCTACTGCTATTCCCTCATGAGCAAGAAAAGGAGCCATGGCAAAACTGAATTTAAGTTGCCTTGGAGAAAGGTTTGACTTTTTGGCAACAGCTCCAGCCAGGCCAGACTGCAAACAAAGTTTCCTTGTTTTCCCGTTCCTTCATTTCCAACTTTGAAGCCTCTATTTGGAACGTAGTACAGAAGCCCTCATTAATCTTGGCGGAGATCTGCTGAGAATTGCTTCTTCCGTGACAGGATTGCTTGGGGATTGTGAAGAGCTTAGATTAATCTCCTTTAAATGAAAACTTCATAAGCTGCCATTAATGAATAATGGTCCTAATCTGCATATTAATTTGAATAAATCATTTTGATATGTTCTTCTGAATGTTGCTTCTGACTATGGCTTGAGCTCCACTATACAAGACTGGAGATAGTTCCTACTTCCTTATTAAATCCACTGGAGGAGGTGTAAAGAGGTGTTCAAGTTAATTACAAATCAACGTTCAAGCATATATTAACCGAAATGATTCACTGTACCTGGAATTATATCTATATAAAGGTAAAGGTAAAGGTACCCCTGCCCATACGGGCCAGTCTTGACAGACTCTAGGGTTGTGCGCCCATCTCACTCAAGAGGCCGGGGGCCAGCGCTGTCCGCAGACACTTCCGGGTCACGTGGCCAGCGTGACATCGCTGCTCTAGCGAGCCAGAGCTGCACACGGAAACGCCGTTTACCTTCCCGCCAGTAAGCGGTCCCTATTTATCTACTTGCACCCGGGGGTGCTTTCGAACTGCTAGGTTGGCAGGCGCTGGGACCGAACAACGGGAGCACACCCCGCCACGGGGATTCGAAATCGACTTTCGAGCAAGCCCAGCGATCTACTATTTACCCAGAGCACCCGGTCCTAGTACAACAGTATCATCCCAAAAATTCAAGTTATGAACAGGATGCACGATCCTGGCAGCGCTGGTGGAGAATTGTCTTTATCATGAGATGTCCTAGAATAACTCTCTTCAACCTGGTACCTCCAGATGTTTGGGGCCAAGAATTCCCATCATCCCCAACCCAGCATGCCAAGTGGCCAAGGATGATGCTGGAAGGCAGCAGGCTGGGAAAGGCTGCCCCAGAATTACGTTTGGCCCTCAGCTATTGCCATTTCGGTGCAAAATGCATTTAGGCATGCTAAGTTCTGAGCCCCAACTGACAAGTCACATACAAATTAGGAACCTGTCCTATGACTCAAGGGCAATAGCCTTAAATCAGGGTAGGCAAACCGGAAGACCTCCAGTTGGTTGTTGGCTCTCCCAACTACGATCATCCCCAGACAGCATGGCCAACCAGTAGGCCATGCTAATGTAGTTCACCAACATCTGGAGAAGCAGAGGTTTCCCCACCCTGCACTACATGTTAGTAGTCTGGGACCCATTCGGAGACTGCTTTAGACTCCTATATGGTGATCTTCATACAATTGGCTATTTGTACCTTTTCAAGGCAAAGCTGAGGGTGCATTGACAGGGTATCCGATCAGACAACATCTCTCTCAGAGACTCTTGCCTCAGCACACAATCTGGCTTCCCTGAGGAGTTTAGGTGAGGTGAATGCCCCATCTATGATGGCTGCTTTTTATGTATTGGTTGCCACTTGAAGCTGGGGTAATGTCATAGTACACATATTGATCACATTACTTTTTTTTAGGTGTAGGTTTACAACCATGTACATACCACAATGTAAGATGTTACAATGGGCCCTAAATATAAACCTCAGAAAAATTACAGGCCCCTGAAAACTGCCACCTGGTGATGAAAAGCAAGGAAGTCTGCAGAATTAATGTGAGGTAATGTAATCAGCATAGCTGGGCGGACTTAATTACAGGTTCACTCGCAGGGCATCGGGACCGGCAAAGGATGTAAATGATATGCAACCTTCTGTACCAAAGCTGCAACCTGAGATTCCAGGAGCTGCTGACATTGCTCCAAGGCTGTCACTCCCGCAAGCCCAAGGAGAGTGATCCACTCTTCTCTGCAAGCCACTTCTCAGCTATCCCAGTCTTGACAATCCCAAAGCCCATTTTTTACCCCTCTACACTCCTACCCAACTTGCCTGCTTGCACAGAATTCAGATCTTGGCCTGCTCCTTCACCCGAGATCCTTCACCTCTTCTGACTCAAATACCTGGGCTCATGTCCCTTTTCCACAAAGTTACCTCCCCCAAGCATATAAACACAGAGCTCGAGGAAACTGAATAAGTTTTCGGTAAACTTCTCACATCCAGAAATATCTTATTTCTGTTTTGTTTTTGTTTTGTTTTTTCTTTTATGGAAAGATTTTAATGGATGTCATCTCTGCTATTACGAGGGAAATACAGGAAATGCCATGCCAGCACTGCGTACCGTGGCAATGTTCCTGAGGTTATGGGGAATGAAAGGTGGCAAGTTAGAATTTGGGGTGACAAAGACAATATTCTGGGTCATCATTTCCCACGTGGCCAGATGGGAAACACTGCTGTATGAAGTTAGAGCCAGTGTTAGAAACTGAGATATGAACTGAGATACAAACTTAGGTTATGGGCGCAACAACGGAATGTCTAGGTGTACTTTTTTATAACAAGAATACAAAGCTGAAAAAGGAATGAACTGCAGCTAAAATACTATGTTCATTTTTCACACTGTCTAGTCTAGGGGTCAGAATTTTTTTTCAGCAGGGGGCCGATCCACTGTCATTTAGACCTTGTGGGGGGCCGGACTATATTTTTGGGGGAAATGAACGAATTCCTACGCCCCACAAATAACCCAGAGATGCATTATATAAAAGCCACACATTGTACTCATGTAAAAACACTAGGCAGGCCCCACAAATAACCCAGAAATGCATTTTAAATAAAAGGACACAGTCTACTCATGTAAAAACATGCTGATTCCTGGACCATCCACGGGCCAGATTTAGAAGGTGATTGGGCCGGATCTGGCCCCCAGGCCTTAGTTTGCCTACCCATGGTCTAGTCCTTCTCCTGCCCACCCCCCTAATATTCTTAAGAGGGTCTCTTCTCCTGAAAGTACCTGAAAGTGGGGAGGCAGAAAAAGGTCCTCCTTTCCTTCCACTCTACAGTTGTAATCTGAAATCTTAAGCGCAGTACTGTGCCCAGAGCTGAGAAACTGCTCGCGCTAATGAAATACCCTGTCGCAAAATGCACCTAGAACAATGGGAGCTTTGAACACTGGTTAGAGTCACCTGGTTCCTACAGAAGCAGAATATGGAAGCAGAGTTACTAAAGAGAAAACGCCTAAGTGAAAGGGATGAAATGGCTGTCTCACTTACCAAGGAGCTAAAGCCATCATTCTGGCATGGACGCTTTTACTTCCCTTATACATATATCTTGTTGAACTCTCTCTTCCTAGAGAAAAGAACTGATCAAATTAGTGGCCATAACACCACCTTATTGTGCTTTCAGAGGATTTACCTTGAGTTACCATTTGTGCAGCAAAACAAAATATAAGACTTCTCATTAAGATTATTTAGGTTGCAATCTGCATCTATGCAGCTGGGAATAAGTCTTGGTTAACTCAATGGAACTTGTTTTTGAGTAGATGTATAGAGGATCGGTCTGTCAAAGTACAATCTGAGAGAAAGGCTTTGCCAACATTTCATTATGAAAAGATTAAACTTGCACAAGGCAAACTGTGCTTTTCACATGCGCCTCAACATGCTATGAAGCCTGCTTCTACAAAATCAACCGAGTCATCCCGAGGCACCTTAAAGATTAACAAAAATATACATTTGCTAAAGTGCCCCTAGGCTTAATTTTTGGTTTTGTTTTGACAGATTAGTGGAAATCACCTTCAAGAATTCATCCCCATTTTTACTTCAGTTAACCAGGAAGAAGATTAAAAACAAAGCACCTGAAATATTGTAAACAGAAAACATCCCACAGCAAGGAACTGAGAGCAAAGCAAGATAATATGGGAGCAGCCCCAAATTTACATTTTTGTGTCAGTCATATCTAAGGGGTAAGAAAAAAGTGAGTTTCAATTGCTCAGGCAGTACATAGGTGTCAATTTTTCATATACTGTATGGGTGAGGAGAGCTCAACCCTGCCAGCCACCCCCATCTCACCATGCTCTTGTTTCAAGCATGGAGAAGCATTCTGTATTCTGAGCGAGGCTGGGATAAAAGTGCCTGCAGAGATGGAACACACAGTCACGCAACAAGGACAGGGAAGAGAAGAACCTATCAGATGGAACTCTCACTATTTTTAATTCAGTTTGGGGTGAAGCACTTTATTTTACTTGCCAACAAAGAAAGAATTTTCTCATTCACTTTCTTAAATGTGACTATTGGGTCTTTGGAAAGCATTTTGATTAAGAAAATTATTCCCTCATTGACACAGTATCGTCTGTTCATTTAATTATACATGGGAACTTTTTCTTTTCTTGCCAATCATCCCTACACAAGCCTTGGTGTGACTAACAAAGACTGAATCACTTCTGCCCAAAGAAGAAGAATACGTTACCCAAAATATCTCCAAGCAGGATGGCGCTATCAGAATATGCATGCTAGCAACTAACAGTCCCACCTGACAGCAGTCAATCAGCCTAAGTAAGCAGCCATGATGTAAACAGGACCAAATGGTCACAGCTCACAGAGAAGTGTGCAGTAAAGTGTTGTAATTTATCCGCATGTATTAACAGAAGTGGTCCTGTTCAGCCAGTCAGTGGGTGGAATGCAATGCAGTACTAAGTTGGGCATGTGTGTGCAGAATGAGGTCCGCTCACGCAATGGGACTTTCCCCTCTCTCCTCCCCTGCACGCCCCCTAAACCTTTTCTGGGGGTTCCCTCAACTCTCCAGAGCAGATTTATGGGGTGCAGGGAGAGGGGAAATTCTAATACGTGAGCAGAGCTAGCTCCTTGCATGCAACAACTTAGTTGAATCCCACCCAATCTCTCCAAGCAGGACAATCCAGAATCCCAGGTTTTATCTTATCTTTTATTTTTTTACTTTGGCAAACCCAGGGTTCCTCCAAGCATGCCGGTACCTTCTTGTTTCTTAGTGTCCCGCATTTTGGTGCCATTTCCAGTGGCACTCAGCACACTGAGTTCTTTATTAGAGGGAGCAACGATGCATGCGCTCAAGACAAAAATACACTATCATTTTTTATTATTATATTACCGTATTTTTCGCTCTATAAGATGCACCAGACAACAAGACGCACCTAGTTTTTGGAGGAGGAAAACAAGAAAAAAATATCTGAATCTCAGAAGCCAGAACTGCAAGAGGGATCGCTGCGCAGTGAAAGCAGCAATCCCTCTTGCTGTTCTGGCTTCTATGATAGCTGCGCAGCCTGCATTCACTCCATAAGACGCACACACATTTCCCCTTACTTTTTTGGTGGAAAAAGTGAGTCTTATAGAGCAAAAAATACGGTAATTTCTCTACCACCCTTCATCCAAGGATCACAGGGCAGTTTGCAATATAAAACACAAAAACACATACCATAATATCAAACAAACAAAAGCAATCTCCTTCACCCAGTTTAAAAAGGCTGTAGAATGTTTAATTAGCCAAAGGCCTGGGAGAAGAGAAATGTTTTTGCCTGGCACCTTAAAAAATGCAATGAAAGCACCACAAGTGGGGAGCAACTGCAAAAAAGGCTCATTGTCGTCTTGCACCTTCCAAACGTATTGTGGAAGGGCACACACGAAGACACTAATGCGGCCATTTCACATGAGCAGAGGGCACATACTTGGAAATGCATCTTTATTTCAAAAACGGCATATGAAGTAGTCTTGAAAAATTGCAGAAATGTACAAAGACTTGGAAGTCAATCTCGTTCAGTGCTCTGCACAAAGGCAAAATCTCTCACGTTCAAAGTCGCAACTGATCAGCCAGTGTCATCCTATGAAAGCAGACCCTAAGAAACCAACAAGAACAATTGCACCATCGGTAGCCGCAAGATTCAGTCTCAGTTATGACTCCACTTGAGCTCGCCATCCCTCCTACAGCACTACTCCTTTTGTATTCAATCACCTGGATTGCAGCTTGCTTTCTCTCAGAGGGACATACTGGGCAGGGAACATCGTGCATTAAACGTGTCAAGTGTGGGATATACAACAGGAGGAATATTAGCAGAAACAAAGGAAGCTGCCTTACAGGAAGTCAGACCAGGGCTACATCTAGCTCAGTACTGCATTTGCCAGAAACAGGGAACGCTCAGGCCCAGGGGCCAAATGTCAGCCTTTCTGATCTAGCCCTTGAAACTCTCTCCAGGCAACACACACTCCCAAGCCACACCCCTCACTTTATAGAGAAATAGCCAAGAATTCCAAGATATCCATTACCTTTGATCTTTGAGGAAGGGCTGGCTCAGTGACTGGCACTCACAGCACTCTAGCAAAATGTGCCGCTTGGTCCAAAAACAGGTTGGTGACCCATGGCTTAAACCAGGGGTAGGGAACCTAAGGCCTGTGGGCTGAATGCGGCCCAATCGCCTTCTCAATTTGGCCCACGTACAGTCTGGGAATCAGCGTGTTTTTACATGACTAGAATGTGTGCTTTTATTTAAAATGCATCTCTGGGTTATTTGTGGGGCAGAGGAATTTGTTCATTTCCCCCCCAAAAAAACATAGTCCGACCCACCACATGGTCTGAGGGACGGTGGACCGGCCCACGGCTGAAAAAGGTTGCTGACCCCTCGCTTAAACTAAATGGCACTTGCTCTTTAGGCTTTCCGACAGAAGACCTTCACCAGGGACTTTAAACTGGGAAAATAACTATGGTTTTGGAGACACTTGTCTGATCTAGAACTGTGAAGGCCGGGGTGGGGGGGGGGAAGGGCTCAGAAACATGGGGGGAACCGCCTCTCCCATTTCTAGTCTGATCCTAGACAGGTCACCCTTCATACTGCCAAGAGTGCCACAAGCAGCGTAGCACGCCTGGGGTTATTTTCTTTTGCAAAGCGTCTCCCTCCCTGCCTGGCGGCTGTGTGTGGAGAATCTTCTACCGCCCGATCCCAGTTCTTGATTGCTAGCAAGGCAATTACTGGCAAGGCCCAGATTAAAGTGTGCACGATGGGGGGGGGGGGCACTGCCAGAACCTGATTCTTCTAGCGACACTGCAACTGGTGGGGCAGCCCTCCTTCCTCGCTTATTTTTATTTTTCTAATATATATGCCGCTTAGTACCATAGCCTCTCAGCGGTGTACAATGAGGGCGCAGCAAGGATGCATGACGAAAACCTGCTAAAATTAACAGCGCGAGCTCGTCCTCGTCTCCCGCCGCTCCCCGTTTCCCGGGTTAAGAAGGCGGGACTCGCGAGACTTGGCTATACCTGAAGGCATCCTGCACCTCCCCGCCGCAAGGTGAGCGGGGGCGGGGCTCTACACTCAACAGGGATTGGCTGGCTGCCCACAGAGGAGAACGTTCCCGCTCGACCGTTCTATCACGCGATTGGAACTGAGCGATTGGAAAGAGGCCGCGCACGAACGAGCCCGCCTCTTCACATCTAACTGGAATGCCGGCTCCCACAATGCACCGCTGCCGCTCCCCCCCCTCAAGCCGCCTCTCAGAGAGACTCGCTTGTATCCCATGAGCCACTGCTCTCCCCCTTTAAGGGTCGCCGCCTTCCGCCTTGCTTCCCTCCGCTGCCCCACAATTCCGCGCGGCGCGCTCCCCTCCCTCCCCTCCCTCCTCGCAGGGCCCCCTGGAGCCGCAAAATGGCGGACACAATGAGTAGCCTCCGCCGCTGCTGCAACTGCCGCCGCCGCCGCCTCCTCCTGCCGCCCGCAGCTTGACTCGAGCCCGCCTGAGGGCGCCGTCGACCAGCTTCTCCGCCCCACCAGCGTCCCCTCCCTGCGGCTTCCTCCTCTCCCTCCGCCGCGAGGCAGGCGCTTCCCGCTTTCCCCGCGCCCTCTTCGGCGCGCAGGCCCCGCCGGCTCCTTCCCTCCCTCCTCCTCTCCCGCCGGCGGCGGCATGAAGCTGACGGACAACGTGCTGCGGAGCTTCCGCGTGGCCAAAGTGTTCCGCGAGAACTCGGACAAGATCAACTGCTTCGACTTCAGCCCCAACGGCGAGACCGTCATCTCCAGCAGCGACGACGACTCCATCGTGCTCTACGACTGCCAGGAGGGCAAGTGAGTGTACTGGGAGGGGGCGGGAGGCCCGGGCAGGCGGGGGGGGGAGGAGAGAGAGAGACCCTCTCTGAAGCCGGGAGGAGGCCCTTCAGACCTCTCGCGGGTGAAGGGGAGTCAGTGGAGGGGGAGGGGGGGCTTGAAGAGGGAAATTTAGAACATTTAAAATAAACCGGTTCTCGGCATCTGAGGATACTTGTGGAGGAGGGTGGCTTGGGGACCGGTGTGGGTGTATTGTTGGCAGGACCGGCTGAAGGACAAGAAGCGCCTCGGGGTTGGTGGGATGCCCCGACTTCCAAGGACAGAGGAACCGAGGGCATAGTCCCCCCCCCCATTTGTATCCCGCCGCCTCATCACACTGTGAAATCTGTGAGTAGGGCCTGTCTTATCTTCTAATATTCTTGAGAAAGTGCAAGTGCTCTATAAGGATTGGTGGTGTTTCCTGCCTTAGAGAAAAGCAAGTTGTACATCTTAAAGGAATCAGCTAAAGGCCCCCCCCCTTGGTTTGTCAGCCTAGATTGCTTAGAGCATGGTGCTGATAACGCCAAGGTTGATCCTGGTATGAGGCAGCTGCTTATTCCTGCATTGCAGGGGGTTGGACTAAATGATCCTTGGGTCCCTTCCAACACTACAGTTCTATGATTGGGTTCCCCTCCCTTCCTATGTTGACACTTGTGCCCCCTAACCTTTGTATTTACCTATGCAAATAAGCAGTGTGCTTGGTCCTAGGTTTAGGAGAAAATCTCTATGTTGATGGCGACTTCAACAAGATAGCATTATTGTGGGATCTTTAGCACATGGATGTGTTAGGGATGTAGGTAAACTGGGGCTGAGTGGAGAAAGGCGTGATGTATAAAAACAGTACCTCAGTTGGAATATGGTTGTGCCAGCAGAGGAACATGAAGTGAGTCTAACTGTCCCGTCAGTAGCACCAGATATAACGCTGTAGAATAGATAGACTGCTAAGTAGCTGCCCTTTCATTTTTATCATTGTGAGAAAATGAAGATGGAATTATACCAGCAATCGTGCCAGACACGACTCCATTTGTGCTGCCCTGCTAAATGATTTGGTGATTCTAAGTATTTTTGCAAATGCAATTTGCTGCTTCTGTTAGTGGGTTTCAATTAAATAAAATGCATTTATAAAGGCTTATGTTCGGTTTTCTTTCCTTCTCACTCAGTGTCTTGTTAAAGTCTATACAGAAAGCACCTTTCTTTGACCCACTTCCTTGTTTTTATATGCGAGACCAAAACATTGAGACAATGTAAATGATTGCCAAATCCTAGTGAATGTGATATTTCAGCACCACACCTATAACAGAATTTTCTTCAGCTTGCCTACTAAAAGTTTGGTACACTAATAAAGTAGTTCCTACCCCACTTCCAAATCTGTGCTTCTGTGGGGTAGAAGTGTACCTAGGGGTTGGCGACATCTGCTCTTGCTAGGGGCACAAAATTCACCCATCAGGCAGAATCCTCCTGTTATACCTGGAGTGCCCCTGGCTCACCTCTCCAGGTCCTGCCTTGCCAGCTGATGGGATCTCAGGAAAGGTTGTTGCTGCTACAGGTGCAGGAGGGGACGGAAAGGGTCCTCAGAGCAGCTACCAGGCAGAAAACAGTGCAGCTGCCCCATTCAGCCCCAAGGAGACATGTTCCTCCTGTCCAGGCAACCTCACCTGCTGCTCAGATTTGGGGGGTGATGGGGGTGGGGGATACAGCTCAAGAGCAGAAGGGACCCTAGGTATGCCTCTGCTAGAAGGTAGATTACAAGGGAGGTTTTTTCTGCCAGAGGTTGGGGACTCTATGTCTTCTGTTGACAACCAACCACCAGTGGTATCGTGGAGGGGGGGAAAGAGGTCTTCCCCTTTCCTGCTGTATCTAGCTTGCTTCACTTTGTTGGGGGATGGGTTGGGTGTTAGACACATTCATTTTGCATATTTAATCCATGTGGTCCCAGCACACAACTTGTGTGTGCTCCTCATGTGCACACACCAGATGTTGGGAATTGAAGTTGTGCATAGTCTCCACACAGGAAAAGGGATGGCATGGGTATGGAAGACCCTAGGCCACATCACATTTGGGTTGTGTGTGAGTGAGAGTTTGGGGGAAGGGTGCAGGGTGCCAGTTGTAATTTTTTATTTGCACCTTGCAGCTGTGTTATCACTTCTTTGGTGCTACTTATACCATTACAAATGTAAAATGTTTATTTATGTTGCATTTTTAGGCATTTTGAACTGTGACCTTCCAGTTTTTCTATGTATATCTTTGATCAGTAAAGTGCAGCTGTGTTAGGATTGTTTTCACATTAGCTGCTAGATACCTTGAAGAATCAAGAAGGGAAACAAAATTTCCAATACTTTTAAAGACACATAATAAATTATTAAAATTCAGTGAGATAGGGTTTTTCAAAATAATTGTATTAACAGTATTTCTTACAGTACATAGATATATAATAAATCTGTCATCAGTTCTACTCCATTATTTCTACTCTTCTCTTTTGTAGACAGAGTTCCCATATTTACGGCTCTCCCCTCTTGAAGAGTCTGCTCTTTTCCATGTATTTTAAAGTACTTAACTCCTTAGCTGACCCTGTCTGGGCAAAGTTTAGAATATTTGGGGGGGGGGCGCAGTTCCAATTCATTCTACTGCCTGAATAGGCATCATGGTTTCTGTTTTCATTCTGAGCGCATAAAACAATCTTTCGCAGTCAACCTTGAGGATAGTGAAATCTTTGCCAAGAATGAAGCTATCTTTGCTATTAAAAAAAAAGTTTCTTCTATTGAAACCCATATTATTTTTGCATCTGTCTGATTTAGGTTTAAAGCAATTTTTCAAATTTCAAAGGAAAAAAATCATTTACTTGTTAAATTGGTTGCCCCTAGCAAGAGTGTCCAGAGCTTATGAAATGAGACATCAATGAAAAGCACACTCACATGTAATCAGACTATGTGTTGTTGTGTAGCTCCAAGCTTTATTTTCTCCTTGTTTAAGGCAGTTCTTAGACCAAATAAATGCCTTTTTAATAATTGACTATCATGAAAGCAGTCCTATGATCTTGCATGTTGGCATTGGTGACACATACAGTATGTTCCCTCCCTTTCCCCAAGGGGAGTGTGTATCAAGCCAAAAAGAGTTCCTTACCTTTTCACTTGGATGCGGGTGGCGCTGTGGGTAAAAGCCTCAGCGCCTAGGGCTTGCCGATTGAAAGGTCGGCGGTTCGAATCCCCGTGGCGGGGTGCGCTCCCGTCGTTCGGTCCCAGCGCCTGCCAACCTAGCAGTTCGAAAGCACCCCCGGGTGCAAGTAGATAAATAGGGACCGCTTACAAGCGGGAAGGTTAACGGCGTTTCCGTGTGCGGCTCTGGCTCGCCAGAGCAGCGATGTCAC